ACCGCGTCCTCAGCAGATGACAGCCTCATGCAGATCCTAGTATCATCCGCAAAGGTGATACGGTGCTGTGGTGTATATCTCTGTTTATGTCCGATATGAGGATAAGGAATAAGATGGGGGCGAGTACTGTGCCTTGTGGAACAGAGCTCTTCACTATGGCAGCCTCCGATTTAACTCTGTTGACCACTACTCTTTGTGTTCGATTTGTTGGAAGTTGAAGATCCATCTCCCACTTTCCCAGTTATTCCTTTAGCACGTATTTTATGGGCTATTACGCCAATGATCGCATTTGTCAAATGCTTTTGCAAAGTCTGTGTTATATCACATCTGCATTCTGATTTTCTTCCAGTGCATCCAAGGCCATGTCATAGTGATCCAGTAGTTGTGAGAGGCAGGAGCGACCTGCCCTGAACCCATGTTGCCCTGGATTGTGCAGATTTTGGGAATCCAGGTGATTTGCAATCCTGCTTCTTAGCACTCTTTCAAAGATTTTTATGATGTGGGACGTCAGAGCTATTGGTCTATAGTTCTTAGCTAATGCTTTGCTGCCACTTTATGGAGTGGGGCTATATCCGTTGTTTTAAGTGACTGTGGAATTTCACCCATGTCCAAGCTCCTCCTCCATAGTGTACTTAGGGCACGCGAGAGGGGTTTCTTGCAGTTCTTAATGAAAACAGAGTTCCACGAGTCTGGGCCCGGGGCTGAGTGCATAGGCATGTTATCAATGGCTTTTTCGAAATCTATCGGAGTTAGGGTAATGTCGGAAATCTGGCATGCATTTATGGAGTTTTGAGGCTCATTCATGAAGAAATCATTTGGGTCGTCGATCCTCAGACCGATTAGTGGTTCACTAAACCAGAGTCATACTGGGATTTCAATATTTCACTCATTTCCTTGTTGTCGTCTGTGTAAATCCCATCCTGTCTGAGTAAGGGCCCGATACTAGATGTGGTATTTGCCTTGTTTTTGGCATATGAAAAGAAATTTTGAATTTCTTTCAATTTCACTAATAGCTTTATAGCTCCTCCTGCTTCTCCTGGTTCCTGTAAGAGTCATTTTAGCTTAAGTTCGATAGTTTCCACTTCCCTGGTCAGCGCCTCCTTTCGTGTATCAGATATTCTAGCACTCCTAAGGAGCTCAGTGACTCTTCGTCGTCTCTGTAGAGGGAGCGTCTTTTTCTCTCCAGTTTACTCCTGCTCTTCTTCTTTCTTAGGGGAATATGCCTAGAACATGCTTCGGCTACCAGGAAGTTGATCCTTTCAAGGCACTGGTTTGGATCCATGTCATTTAAGACATCTTCCCAACATGTTTCGTTTAGGACATGGTTTACCTGGTCCCAGTTGATGTTCTTGTTGTTGAAATTGTATTTTGTGAAGACACCTTCACAGGTACATGCATTCTGCTGTTCAGGACCCCTATGCATGTACGTCTGGACTTCGATTAGATTGTGATCGGAATTAGTTGTTTTTGATATTCTTATGTCTCTTATCAGGTCCTCATTATTTGTGAAGATAAGGTCAAGTAGAAAGATACACTCTCAGGGTAGAACGATACACTCTCAGGGTAGAAAGATACACTCTCAAGGTAGAAAGATACACTCTCAGGGTAGAAAGATACACTCTCAGGGTAGAAAGATACACTCTCAGGGTAGAAAGATACACTCTCAGGGTAGAAAGATACACTCTCAAGGTAGAAAGATACACTTTCAAGGTAGAAAGATACACTCTCAGGGTAGAAAGATACACTCTCAGGGTAGAAAGATACACTCTCAAGGTAGAAAGATACATTCTCAGGGTAGAAAGATACACTCTCACGGTAGAAAGATAACATAAGAACATAAGAATGTAGGAACACTGCAGAAGGCCTACTGGCCCATACGAGGCAGGTCCTTATCAAAACGACATCTACCTAAAGCTACTCAAGAAATAACTCCCGTACCCCTTGACACCAATCAAACCCAGCCCCTCCCACTCATATATTTGTCCAGTCTCTTCTTAAAGCTACCCAAGGTCCTAACCTCTATCACCCCACTGGGAAGACTGTTCCACGCATCTACAACTCTGTTAGAAAACCAGTACTTACCTATGTCCTTTCTAAATCTAAATTTATCCAACTTAAATCCATTATTCCTGGTTCTTACCTGGTTCGACACCCTCAGTACTTTATTAATGTCTCCCTTGTTTATGCCCGTCATCCACTTATACACTTCAATGATATCTCCCCTCATTCTACGCCTCTCCAGAGAGTGGAGATTTAAGGCTTTAAGTCTATCTTCATACGGGAGGTTCCTTACACAGTAAATCATTTTAGTCATTCTTCTCTGTATGTTCTCTAATGAGTCTATGTCCATCCTGTAGTAAGGGGACCAAAACTGAGCAGCATAATCTAAATGAGGCCTCACTAGTGATGTATAGAGCTGTAAAATAACTTTTGGACTTCTGTTACTTATTACTTCTTGAGATAAATCCAAGTAATCTGTTGGCCTTGTTGCGCACACTGAGGCACTGCTGTCTTGGCTTTAGATTTCTGCTTACCATGACTCCCAAGTCTTTTTCACATTCTGTATGACCAAGCTCTACTTCACCTAGATTATAGCTTCGAGGGTTATTTTCATTACCAAGGGCAAGTACCTTACACTTATCCACATTAAATTTCATCTGCCATTTCTCAGACCAAGACATTAATTTGTTCAAATCGTCCTGGAGTTCATTGATATCCCCCTCAGAGTGAATTATACGGCCTATCTTTGTATCATCAGCAAACTTACTCATGTCACTAGTAATCCCTTCATCATGGTCATTAATGTAAATTATGAACAAGAGAGGGCCTAAAACTGATCCTTGTGGAACGCCACTAGTGACTAATCCCCATTCAGATTTCACTCAGGGTAGAAAGATACACTCTCACGGTAGAAAGACACACTCTCAGGGTAGAAAGATACACTCTCAGGGTAGAAAGATACATTCTCAGGGTAGAAAGGTACACTCTCAGGGTAGAAAGACACACTCTCAAGGTAGAAATATACACTCTCAGGGTAGAAAGATAAAGTCTCAAGTTAGAAAGATACACTTTCAGGGTAGAAAGATAAACACTGTTAGTAAATGAAAATGACGAAACTGAAGAATGGAATTTGGACCTGGACTGCGACAAAGAATATGAAGTAGAATTTACAATTTTACGTGGTCACGCTACTGAGGGATGCTTCTCTCGTGACTGTCCTGGCATACAAGTACTCACTCACACTGTCCAAAGGAGTTTCTCATAGGTCACCAGGAAGCGACTAAGAAGCACTGCAACACTTGCATTCTTTCATGTTGACGCAGTTGAATAGGAAATTCTTATGAGTATTGACTCAAATGAAGTTGACAAAACTGCTGAAACTAGTGAACTACTGAGAAATCCCCTCACTTTATAAGGTAAAATGAAGCATTAATGTTTAAATTATAATTGTTTTCTTGAGAAATGTTCAGTCGGAAGTGGTAACCTGCATCCTTTTTTAGCGACATTAATATGTGTATTTTTTTGCATTCTCTCTCCTATAGGTGACATTTAAATAGCTATAAAAACTCATGAAACTTGAAAAATAAGTGTCTAATTTACAACTTTAATCATACAAAACTTTCAACTCATAATTATTCATGACGACCTCTGTGTGAGTTATATTCTGTTAACTGTTACTGGGATACTGAGTTGTTGTTTGTAGTGATAAACAAGTCTACCAATTATCATGATAACTGACAAATAAAATTATTTATATAAAATATTAAACGAAATCGATTGATGTGTGTTTTATGAGTGTGGAACGAATCTTTAATATTTTTACATAAGTAATATCAAATGTTATATCATTACGGACAAAACATCCACTTCAGTCCTAAATAAAATTAAACAACAATCAAAATAGATATAGTAAGTGAGCCTCTCTGTTCTGAATGCCTGGGCTGAAATTTAATTTTAGTCTGCCCCTGTTCACTGTGTGAAGTCAGACCAAGGCCCAGAAAGAGTCCGGAGATCCAACTAGTCCCTTCAAGGTTCCACTGAGCGTTGTATAATACTAAAAACTTGCCTGGGAAGTAAGTAAGAGTAGTTTTCGCGCTCTTGATAAGCACCAAAAACTTAGTAGTGGAGGGAGCCGTGAAAGTGGCCTCCCTCGGTTGACTTACTGTGAAACACACAGGATCCTTCTCATCTAATGCACTAGCAGTAATCGTCGCCAATGAACAAACTCCCCTGGCTTGTTGAAGAACACTTTGAGCAAGGCACTTAGCGGCAACGAAGCCAGTGATCGAAGCAAAGCATATGTCTTGAGGAGCAAGGCAACCTATAACATGTGACAAGTACTGACTCCGGTCCGCCAACACAGTGAGTAAACATGGTAGAGAACTTCATCGTGTAAATGAGTAGAGGTGATTACCTAAGTGGTTGGTCACTGGCGAATTAGCTTCTGAGTTGCAAGGGGGAGGTAAAATAAAACAGCCCTTACTTGAACCTAGAATGGTAAGTGGCAAAGACAGCCCTTACTGGGACCTAGAATGGAGGCAGAGACAGCCCTTACTGGTACCTAGAATGATAAGTGGCAGAGACAGCCCTTACTGGTACCTACAGTGATCCTTACTTGGACCTAGAGTAATACTTCCTTGAGAATAAAGTGATTCTTACTGGAGCCTAGAGTGATCCTTACTGGAGAATAAAGTGATCCTTACTGGAGCCTAGAATGATCCTTTCTGGAGCCTTTTCTAAATCCATGAATACAATGAAAATTTGCTTATCTTTATCTTCAATGTAAACACTTGGTCTACACATCCCCTACTCTTCCTAAAGCCTCCTTGCTCCTCCTCAGTCCTACTCTCTGTTTTATCCATAATTCTTTTATTATACACAATTCTCTACAGTGTACAGTATATATACATAAAATGCAGATGACTCTAAGAAAAATATCGTTCTAGTATCTCCTTATTTTGTTCTTACATACCAGTAAACTTTAATACCTTTTCATTAATAACCTGTCGTTCTCCCCAGTTGGCTATGCTAAAAACAAGGCGGTGCACCAGAGCCATGGGAAGTTCCTCTGCTTTCTTGATGCGGTAAGATAGAGGTACTCTTTGTATTTCACTACAATTCAAGTTTTTTTTTTTAAGTTATAGTGCAGTATCTGGAACAATTAACAAATCTCCCTCAAGACGACGTTTCGGTCTGTCCTGGACCATGGACAAAGGTGCAAGACAGACCGAAACGTCACGAGCTTCAATTAGTGTAGGTTATTTGTTATTTTTCTTAGAGTTAGTTTTATTCCCTGACATACCACTCTCGAGTTTTAAGTATAAAATTCTTAATATACTTTGGAACCATTTGAATTATTTAAATAAATGCAGATAAAAATAAACATTTTTTTAATAATGTGTATGACTCAGGTGAGAACAGAGTTTTCTGTGGTTTGTTGCTCGGTCTAAAAGCCATTGGCTAGCAGGCGCAGGACCACGTTCCACCTAGGGGCAGGTGTAGTTGGGAAAGTCACCTTACACCTGCAGCCCCTGTTCACCTAGCAGTAAGTTGGTACCTGGGTGTTAGAGCACTTTTATTGGTCGCATCCTGAGGGAAGGGGATCAAAGGACCCCAGTGGAAATAAGCCGAATATAATGGCTTTATTGCGTTATCCCGGTTATTAACCTTCCAGAAATTCGTATGCCGTAAAGTATTCCCTTCTTTCTCTTTAGCATCTTTCTATTCTTCTTCATCTTAATCTTCTTTTCTTCTATTTCATCATCATCTTGTTCATCTTCTTCAAATACGTTACAATGCAGTGTTAACAATTTATTTAAATTATCTTTGGAAAAGTCCACATTTATAGGCAGCATTAAACGAGAACTAAACGGCTGGCTAGAGTATTACAGTGATGAACACTACTTATGTTCCTTATGAACCCAGGATACACCCAAGAAAGTCAAGTACTCTGTCATAGTGAGGCTGTTATAGTGAGATATTTCTTACCCTTGCAAAAGATGCCACCCACAGCAGCTAAGTATATCCAGGGACCTATGTTACATTACCCATTCACTGCTAGATTAACAGAATATTAAATATTTATTTATTAAATAGTGGTTCCAAATCTTTTGTTAATGTACTACTATATACTACTACTACTACTACTACTACTACTACTACTACTACTACTACTACTACTACTAATAATAATAATAATAATAATAATAATAATAATAATAATTGTAGGTTCAATAAAATAACATTCAGATGTTTTGGACACCTTATTAACGACACTAGATTGTCATTTGCTCCACCTTGTCGGTATTTACGTACTATTCAAGTTTTAATATTGCCAGGTGACCGTGAGCAGCCAGTGTACACGACTTGTTCATACATTCTGCCTCATGTTGATAACTAAGACACATGTGCAGCAGTTAGGTATCTTTATTCCGAAACATTTCGCCTACACAATAGGCTTCTTCAGTCGAATACAGAGGAGTTTGTAGTAGTAGAGATGTGAAGACAATGTAATCAGTCGTTACGCTTTTTGAATGCATAACTTAAATAAAAAGTCCTGGTTCCTGAAGGGTAAATGACCTGCCTGTCTAGGGGCATTTATATTATTAAAAATAGAAAAAGAAGTTTCTCTAGGGCCAGCTTGCACCTTCACATTAAATGTGAAATGTTAATTAGTCACTATTATTATTATAAGGACACAAAAACTCACATATACAAAAATATAACATGTTAATAGTAACGTATATACAACCTACAATCTGCTCTACTACGACCAACATCTTTACTCACATTAACTCACTAGCACACTACTACTAGTGAGCAAAACAAGATATATAAACAGGGAGGCTCCATGACACCCCCACCTTTCTGCTGGTGTGTCTACCAGCAGGTAACAACACTACACGAGTACTCTGCCAAAACTTAAACAGGCTTCTGCACACTAGGACCTTACAGGTAAACATGAGAGCAATTAAACACAAATAAAATTAACTATAGTATAAACTAAAAAAAAAAACTCGCCAATTCAGCTACTCACACAGCTACATCTTGCTCTATCTGCTGTGCTTCACCTGCTGCACAAAACACCTCACTCTCCTCTCTCCTGGCCACTCTGACTCACCAGGTATAATACGCATCCAGTTTCAGTACAATCCCGGAACTACGGAGCAATTTTTACACAATATTTTTACTGCATCACTTAGACTCACAAATTTTAATGCATATTTTCTCTTTCAGGATGATATTATGTTGCCAACACGGGTACAAAAACAATACAATCTCGCAGTGTATAATCATAATGCTGTAAGTAGTTATTTCAAAATTCTATATATTGGAAATAATAAGTTAAAAACTGCTGTGCTTATCAAAAATCTATCCTGTATATTAAATACAATAGTAAAATTTATTTGATGTGTAATCCATAGTAAGAAAATGCAATAATTTCAATGTAATTTTATGGGAAACAGGATATGATAAAAAATTATGAATAATTATTACATAATCTTAAACAATCGTCATAAATGTGTAAAACTGTTAAGCAGTGAAGAATCTCTTGATTTGTTGTGACTACATCCAGCAAGGATTAAGAGAAACCGGCTAACCGGTTTCCCTAAATTCCTTCATAAATGTTACCTTGCTCACTCTCTAACATTCCAACCACTTGTCTCCACTCACTCTTCTCTATCACGCTTACACAAGCCAGTTATCACGCTCACACAAACCTGTTATCACGCTCACACAAGCCTGTTATCACGCTCACACAAACCTGTTATCACGCTCACACAAGCCAGTTATCACGCTCACACAAGCCAGTTATCACGCTCACACAAACCTGTTATCACGCTCACACAAGCCAGTTACACGCTCACACAAGCCTGTTATCACGCTCACACAAGCCTGTTATCACGCTCACACAAGCCAATTATCACGCTCACACAAACCTGTTATCACGCTCACACAAGCCAGTTATCACGCTCACACAAGCCAGTTATCACGCTCACACAAGCCTGTTATCACGCTCACACAAGCCAGTTATCACGCTCACACAAACCTGTTATCACGCTCACACAAGACAGTTATCACGCTCACACAAGCCAGTTATCACGCTCACACAAGCCTGTTATCACACTCACACAAACTTGTTATCACGCTCACACAAGCCTGTTACCACGCTCACACAAACCTGTTATCATGCTCACACAAGCCTGTTATCACGCTCACACAAGTCTGTTATCACGCTCACACAAGTCTGTTATCACGCTCACACAAGCCTGTTATCACGCTCACACAAGTCAGTTATCACGCTCACACGTCAGTTATCACGCTCACACAAGTCTGTTATCACGCTCACACAAGTCTGTTATCACGCTCACACAAGCCTGTTATCACGCTCACACAAGTCAGTTATCACGCTCACACAAGTCTGTTATCACGCTCACACAAGTCTGTTATCACGCTCACACGAGCCTGTTATCACGCTCACACAAGTCAGTTATCACGCTCACACAAGCCTGTTACCACGCTCACACAAGCCTGTTATCACGCTCACACAAGTCTGTTATCACGCTCACACAAGCCTGTTATCACGCTCACACAAGCCTGTTATCACGCTCACACAAGCCTGTTATCACGCTCACACAAGCCTGTTATCACGCTCACAAGCCAGTTATCACGCTCACACAAGCCTGTTATCACGCTCACACAAGCCTGTTATCACGCTCACACAAGCCAGTTATCACGCTCACACAAGCCTGTTATCACGCTCACACAAGCCTGTTATCACGCTCACACAAGCCTGTTATCACGCTCACACAAGCCTGTTATCACGCTCACACAAGCCTGTTATCACGCTCACACAAGCCAGTTATCACGCTCACACAAGTCTGTTATCACGCTCACACAAGTCTGTTATCACGCTCACACGAGCCTGTTATCACGCTCACACAAGTCAGTTTCACGCTCACACAAGCCTGTTACCACGCTCACACAAGCCTGTTATCACGCTCACACAAGTCTGTTATCACGCTCACACAAGCCTGTTATCATGCTCACACAAGCCTGTTATCACGCTCACACAAGCCTGTTATCACGCTCACACAAGCCTGTTATCACGCTCACAAGCCAGTTATCACGCTCACACAAGCCTGTTATCACGCTCACACAAGCCTGTTATCACGCTCACACAAGCCAGTTATCACGCTCACACAAGCCTGTTATCACGCTCACACAAGCCTGTTATCACGCTCACACAAGCCTGTTATCACGCTCACACAAGCCTGTTATCACGCTCACACAAGCCTGTTATCACGCCTCACACAAGCCAGTTATCACGCTCACACAAGCCTGTTATCACGCTCACACAAGCCTGTTATCACGCTCACACAAGCCTGTTATCACGCTCACACAAGCCTGTTATCACGCTCACACAAGCCATTATCACGCTCACACAAGCCTGTTATCACGCTCACACAAGCCTGTTATCACGCTCACACAAGCCAGTTATCACGCTCACACAAGCCTGTTATCACGCTCACACAAGCCAGTTATCACGCTCACACAAGCCAGTTATCACGCTCACACAAGCCAGTTATCACGCTCACACAAGCCTGTTATCACGCTCACACAAGCCTGTTATCACGCTCACACAAGCCAGTTATCACGCTCACACAAGCCTGTTATCACGCTCACACAAGCCTGTTATCACGCTCACACAAGCCTGTTATCACGCTCACACAAGCCTGTTATCACGCTCACACAAGCCAGTTATCACGCTCACACAAGCCTGTTATCACGCTCACACAAGCCTGTTATCACGCTCACACAAGCCTGTTATCACGCTCACACAAGCCAGTTATCACGCTCACACAAGCCTGTTATCACGCTCACACAAGCCTGTTATCACGCTCACACAAGCCTGTTATCACGCTCACACAAGCCAGTTATCACGCTCACACAAGCCTGTTATCACGCTCACACAAGCCTGTTATCACGCTCACACAAGCCAGTTATCACGCTCACACAAGCTTGTTATCACGCTCACACAAGCCTGTTATCACGCTCACACAAGCCAGTTATCACGCTCACACAAGCCAGTTATCACGCTCACACAAGCCTGTTATCACGCTCACACAAGCCTGTTATCACGCTCACACAAGCCTGTTATCACGCTCACACAAGCCTGTTATCACGCTCACACAAGCCAGTTATCACGCTCACACAAGCCAGTTATCACGCTCACACAAGCCTGTTATCACGCTCACACAAGCCTGTTATCACGCTCACACAAGCCTGTTATCACGCTCACACAAGCCTGT